AAGTTGGTTGAGTTGGCGGATCGGACTCATGATAAACACTAAAATCTGAGCTTCAGAAGTGCTCCCAGATTCTGTTGGTCTTAAGATATTTAGTCAAAAAGTTTTCAGTCTACACCAACTATGGAAACGGCATCACCTCTGCAGCTGAACCAATCACATAAAGCAAGAAATCTGTGTCGGTGTTTAAGTCAGTGACCTGGGGGGGGGGGGGCCGGGAACATTGATGACCTCTTGTTTTTTTCCCCCCCCTTGTCCGGTTGTTGGTTTCAGTTTCATTATATTGAATCGGTTTCTAGTAAAATTAAATTTTGTTGATACATGAGGGGCAGGATTTTATTCGTTGAATACTCATTCTGGCTCCTTTCATTGGGCCAAGTCAATTTAAATGACACCGTTAACATTTTGATGTGAGATTATCACTTCATGTACGTCAGGTCTGTGCGATAGTTCTGCACGTTCACAAAGAGTTCCGTAAATAATCGCGCACTTTTCGTTAGGTTAAACTATTAAGAGTGTATCGACATATAATATCCATTTTTTTAATACAGTCGTAATATTTTAGTTTAATGATGTAACTTACTTGCTAGCTGTAGGTGGCTTACTTTTATACTTAATGTAGGTATTTAATGGGAAGAAGTACCTAGGTATCTTTCCATCATGTATGCAGTAACGGTCTATTTCGCATAGTAGGTAATTTTTTATATAGATTCTTCTGGAAATATTCAATTCACATACAGGCTAACTCAGTTTGCGCAAGCTTAATTTTCCCGCGTGACTGATGGATCCGTAGTCTCATAAGAACAATTCTGTGTTCATCATAACAGACCAATAGTCTGTCTAGATTAAATGGTACAGAAGCGACAAACTCTATGGTCATTTGTTTTGTAGAAAATGAATAACAATCACGCCAGTTCCACTCACATAAGTTTTATCACTTGTTTCAACCTTATAAATGTATTATACATGTAAACAGCATTAAATGATTGTAAACGTTTTGACTTCATTTTAGGTGAGGTTATATATTTCCTTTTTGGCAAAAAGGGCTATGCAAATATGAAAGAAAATAAAAGTGTGAAACAACTTATGGAAAACGATCTTTAGGTACAATTGGAAATAGTTTGTTTCAAAATTTTCTCACAAAGCGAACAGCCATTCCTAGTTTTGAACTGATAAGCTACAGGGACAAGAACTAGTTAACAGCACCCACAAGCCCACGACATATTTTTGTATGACCTAGGAAGGGTTTGACCCTCATTCTTGTAACGTTCCTATGGCTCCAAAGTGCAGAGCACGCCTTTGTGGCAACGGGCTGCGAACCGTGAACCCTCGGATTCACAGCCCAACACGTTTACCATCCGATGACGTCCAGCCCGTTAGAAATGTAAGAAGCAACACTTTGAAACATGCAAACAAATATGATGCAATGGAATATTATATTGTTTGACACAAATTTCAAGAATTTTAATGTGTTAAAAACCTGTTCAAAATATTATTTATATTTAACGACAATTCTAAATAATCAACAACAACAGAATGAGTAAGAACGTATGCCACTGCGACAAAAATACATTCAGGTTTTGCGCCATAAATTATAATGTGTATTTAATGTTCTTTTTCCCCACAATAACAATAGGATGGATTGGCTACTTGGCGCACACTCATAGCTTACGTTTAATGCTGATTTACAGGCACATTCAGTTGGTGGATTCTTTCTACTTCAGGCGGGACTTAAAAGCTGAACGTACTTGAATACTTATAGAAAATATGACAATGAAGTAATGAGAAACCGTAGCTATTCGTCGATCGTGCTGGTACAATCCTGAGCTTGGGCCTCGTGCAGAGGAATAATTACTCATCATCATCACGAGCGCACAAGACATGATAGCTGAATACGCTTGTCGCATACTTTATTCTAGGTAAAACTAATCTGATAGAACATTGCCACAAGAAAAACAAAAACAGCAAACAAAATAGACTCACAAAAAATCTGATAAATACATGTAGTTATAAACTATTTTGGCTGTCTCTTCACTTCAGCTGTGTAAAAAACCTATGTTAATGAGAACCCATTACACATTCGCCGTGTTAAACAGGATATTAAAATAACGCTGAAGCTAGTAAATCACGATAATTATCCTTAGTGCTAATTGGATTAAAAAATATTTAACTGATTGAAAAGCATTTACTGATCAGATACTTTTAACTTGTTCTTTGGATGAATTACTATTCAAAATGGGCCTTGGAGGATATTAATAATTTATATTTTTTTTAGAAATACCCTTTGGACCTCAGGCTGCCAGGTTGACTTTTCACAAATGATAAATAGTCTTACTTATTTATTTTTGATAATGGTTAAAGTTTGATACAATTAAAGATTTATAGTCGTATACATAAACTGTAACACGTGAAGCTTAATTCAATAAATCATTTTCAAAGTAATTTAATATTTGAATTTTAACATCCAACTTATATTCACATATTATTTCAAGGCATTTTTTTTAACAGTATAACAGTAGAATTACACAATGCTTGATCTGTCTACCTATTTGCTTGTCCATCCATTAATCTAGGAAATAAAAGCGTTGATGAAAAAGAAACTTATAGTGGAGCCTTTATCAGTTTCTCATTTTAACAAATATTTCAAAATCTTTGATTACGATGAATTATGCTGATAAAATACCTTCAAATATGTATACGATATACTTAAATGGAATCTTTCGTTCAGCAATTGAGATGTAGATTTTGAACAATGTACGTGAAAAGATGAAGTTAAATCAGATCCAAATCTACAGTCAAGTAAAGTTATAAATCTGTTTGTGTTAAGTTTTGTTTGTTTGTTTGTTTGATTTCACTACTCGAGGGCTAAGTGCGCTAGCTGTCCCTGATTTAAAAGCGATAGACTAGACAGAAGGCAGCGTAGCTAATCAACACTATCCACCGCCAACTCTTGGGCTACTCAAATCTAAACGAATAGTGGGATGCACCGTCATATTATAATACCCCAGGGCTAAAATGGAGTATGTTTGGCGACCATCCTGCAACCCGCAGATTGTGAGTCGAGTGCCCTAACTACAAGTCCATGTTAGACTTGTGTTAAGTAGCAGCACATTTAAGTTACTTTTACTTGTTTTTTTTCCATTTCGGATATTCATGCAAAGGTTCTCAATGGCTATCTGCCTTATTCCTCTCTAATTTTGAACTGATAGCTAAATGGAAGGAAACTAGTCAACAGCACCCCCTCACCATCCCCCTCCTCCGCCAACTCTTGGGTTAACCTTGTCTGATTTGACCTTACCTTAAAGTGTGAAGTGCGGTAACAGGACCCGAATGATGGACCTACAGATCCCTAGTCCGGTACGATCAGCTCATATTAGTTTTTAATTGGAAAATATCTAACTGCGTGTGAGTACGAAGAGAAACCTACTTAACTCAACGATATGTTTCCAAGTAGAATTCATATAAGTATTATATATTAATACCTTTATTTTGAGTTTCAGTACTGCAGGTGGAAGGAGATCCGTAGTTACCCGGCGATCGTCTTGTTGGGCTGGTAGACGCGCAACGTAATTGTTGGTCAGCTCTAGTAGTTTGGATTACGTGGTCAAAACTCTTTTCCCCACAGTTTGTGTCTGACTGGTTTGTGTCAGACCTCGTGCTTCTTATCTCCCGATTGAGCGTACCTTCTGAATCTAATGTTAAGAAATTATTATTATTAATATAAAACCCTTTAAATATAGTGGTATTGTTGTTGTTGCAGATTTAACAAATATTTCTCCTGACCTACACACTTAGATATTCACCAAGAGGTTGCGATAAATACACTGGTGTAAAATAATCTTGACAAACTTAAATCTATTTGATGATGTTAATTTGAATATGGAAAACAAAATCTTAACATGCAACCATTATATTCAAAATGTTCTTAATATCTTCGTTTTAAGTGACTCTCTGAAATACAACATTTTAATTCTGTCATTGAAACACGTGTTTGTAATAATCTTTTTATAAACTTATTTATATTTTTCCGTGGTTAGTAAACAAAGTGGGAATATATAACCTCTAAGACATTTGAAAACGAACGTTCTATGTTATAATCTTGCATGACGTCATATACTATATTTCAATGAACATCTATAACACACTATTTACCCAATATACCATTGTTTTCATCAACACATGTGCAGGATAAGTCATCTCTGCATTTCGAAATAGCTACATTTAGGATTGTTAACAATATCAAAAATTTTCGTTGGTGTTGTTGTTTTCTAAGCCAAAGCTACACAATAGGCTATCTGCGCTATGTCTACCGCTGGGAATCAAACCGTGAAATTTGGCGTTATAAGTCTGTAAACTTACCGCTGACCCATCGGACGAGTATCAAAAAATACCTAATGGTTACAATTAAAACTGTGACTGTTATTATTCATGAATTGCTTTTATTTTGTAGGAAAATAGAAAATACTCTGAAGATTTATGGACCAAACTAAGTAGATTCTAGTTTTTGATGAATAACATTTTCGACATTTGCATTAATAAAATACAATAAAAAGTGATGAAAACATTCAAAATAAAAAAAATATAAGCGAACTAATTTTTCTTGATTTTGAGGCCTTTCAATGATGTTTACATGAATATGAACGCATGGACAGTTGTTTTTTTACATTTTGAAATTTGTGATTTTTGTTTATTTCGTGCGTTCGCGCGAAACTACTCCAGGGTTATGTAGGCAATATTTAATTTCGAAATGGTAGACTAAAGGGAAGGCAGCTAGTCAACATTAGTCACGTTCAACTCTTGGGCTACTCTTATATAATTGGATAATGGGATTTTCTCGTCATTCTTACAATGCAGCCACGGTTCCAAGGTGTGAAATGCGATGTTTTTCAGCACTAATGGGATGCGAACCTTGGACCTTAGATTTCACATTTATGCAAGCTGACCTCAATCACACTCGGCCCGAAATGTACAATACTTATGAATTACCATAAAAATATAAACTAAAAACATTTTCATGTGGATCAACAATGAAGACGCCATATTGTCACATTTTCGAATGCAAGTAGACATAACATTACATGAACGAGGTAAGCCTGATTTATTTTTGTTTATAGACAATGTGTTCTTGTGACTCAGTCAAGTAAGTCTTTCTTAGGGCGCATTATCATAAAGCCGCGATATTTATTAGTTAAAAATATTAATATAGTATTTAAAGTGACATTAACAAAACTTGACATATGGAATAGAAATAATGAAAAAAAGGTATATCAACGATAAAAATTGTTCAGATTGTCCTCTAGAGAAACGGAAGTAGAAAGTTGTAGACTCCCAATCTTTAAACATAAGTAACATATTTTAGTACCAGGTGAATTCATGATAAATATAGTTATATATTAAGTGCACTGGTTTATAAAAAAAAGTACAATAATTTTAATACAAATGTTGAACACTGTCTCCAACGTTGACTTTTCGAACGCTGTGGGCAGTATTTAACGTTTTCGTTAAAATTAATGACAACCCAGTACAGTTAACAAATAACTTTACTAACCTCTATTTTTACTTTTACAGCGGGGAATAATGATCTCTCTGTCTCTCAAGTACTCAAATTTGGCGTGAACGTTCTAGTTTTTACTAATTTATAAAATAGTTCTTTTTCACGTTCTTCATAACATTTTAATTAAACACTTTTTATTTGTCTGTTCTTTAATAAGCGCAAAAATACACTATTGGCTATCTGTGCTGTACCATCTTCGGGCATCGGAACTCATTTCTAGCGTGATAAGCTCTCAGAATTACCGCTATGCCACTAGGGGGCTTAATTAACAATGAAAAATTAAAATTTAGCGAGTGTAAACATAGAGAGGTATTCGTTGATAAGTTAACGATAATTAAAATTTTTAAAGCATCGCGCAAAATAATGACTTAGGATTTGAGCTAAATTTTTTTTTTAAAGAAACTATTAATCAACCATTAATACTAAAAACCCATATATGTAAATTAAAACTTCAACTAAATACCAATATTGTTACATCTAGCTGAAGAAATGTTTTTTTTTCTCTCATTAACTATTTACATATTTTTATGATACTGGCAAGTTTGATTATAAAAAAAGAGAAAACGCTGTCATCGTAATCCAAGCAAATTTCCCATGTTAACTAAAATCCATAAAATGAAGTTTTCAGGTAACAAAAAATATCCTTCAAAAGCAATTAAATACCCGACAATCCTGCAAAAAATATAATTCGGCCATTCCACTTAAAGAGTAACCACATCTGACCTGAATGTATAATAAAAATAATATTAACAAAAGTGATGTTTGTTTGTTTTTGAATTTCGCGCAAAGCTACACGAGGGCTATCTGCGCTAGCCGTCCCTAATTTAGCAGTGTAAGACTAGAGGGAAGGCAGCTAGTCATCCCACCGCCAACTCTTGGGCTACTCTTTTACCAACGAATAGTGGGATTGACCGTCACATTATAACGCCCCCACGGCTGAAAGGGCGAGCATGTTTGGTGTGACAGGGATTCGAACCCGCGACCCTCTGATTGCGAGTCGAGTGCCTTAACCACCTGGCCATGCCGGGCCTATGATGGTTGTACGAAGACCATGAGTAGACACATTAGCTACTCAGTGGCTTGACCAATCAGACTGGCTGTTTTTAATTCCAAGTAATATGATGATATTAATAGTATAAATTGAATCAAAACGTCCATTGTAGGTCTACGCCAGCCCGATATTTAACAAAATATTATTTATTTAGACATTTTCATGTGTCAAAAGAATAAATAACAACAACATAAAAACATTACAGAAATATTAGTCGATAACTCTGGTTGACTTATGTTCTTCAATACTCTTAAGCTACATAAAAACAGCGATCTTATAATAGCCACTGATGTGCTGAAACCAAAAGTAGCTGCTAAGGTGCTACCTAAGTACACTATAGCAGAAGATGAAATAAATAAATGATAATAATTAAAACTTTAAGGTTGGTAAGTTATGGAAAAGGTGGGTTGCCAATATATAGAAAAAGAAGGGAAGTGAAATTTGAGTAGGGAAGAGAAAAAAGAATAATCTGGATGAAGGTAATTTAAAGGTGGAGTAGTGATAGCGGGATTAGAGTTCAGTCTAAATGCGATAAAACTTTTTTTTTTTTTTTACGGGCGCAATTGTGGTGAATATTGAATTGCTATTAATAATGGAACTAAGTCAGTTTCTTAGCAAAGATTATTTCTACGTATTGGGAGTATACCAAAAGAGAGAGAGAGATAGTACAATATCATAAAAAGGAAATAAATGTCCCAACTATCTATGATCTTTCCAAAAAAAGGTATTACTACATCTTCTTTGTTGTTATTAATTACTGTTTTTTTAAATAACTACTGAAAGAAGGATAACATACTTACTCTTTATATATCTGAATGGTTTAATGAAAGCTGAAGATTAAAGTAATTCTGTAGAATGTATTATTTTATACTTCAGTGCTATTACTTTCGTTAGTAACACGATTTTCTGTTTATTTTTCTAGAGAATCTAAACTCAGGGTTTTCTGTAACAGATTAAGCAGTGGTTTATTTTATACTTTGTACAGTCATAAGACCTATTTTATTTGTCCAGCACGAAACTCTTGGCAGGAACTGGAATTTTTTAAAGGTTATACCAGTCATATTTATAAGCTTCTTTAAGAAATGAAAAGGACAAACTTTTGAAATTCAATTGTTTTCCAACCAAATGCATTACAGGGTTGAAATCAGATTGTACTTTAGGAGCATAATTTATTCACTAATTACAGCTAGAGAGTCAGTTTCATTGGCAATACAATGTTGCTGACAACTGATGGAACATGAGTACCCTAAAAGTAAAAGCGCTAGGTGTATGGACTGACGGAATAAATTTACCTGAAAGAGTCACTTCTGCCACACACACACACACACTAAAGACACTAATTATCTTATGCCCCTTCCCTTCTCGTTCTTAATGTAAGTTCTGCATCCTTGAAGGATACCTCTGGTCAGTTGGCGGACGATGTTATTTAAGACATCACGTGATGAGTTAAGAGAATAACTAACACACAGGTAAGTTGACAGGCAGAATAAGAGGTTCGAAATGATTTGGTCGATTGACTTATGGATAAAAACAAAACGACAAAAGATGTACAGGGATTACAACAATGTGGTATTCTTGTTTAGAAAAGTTCCAACATGTTACTCACGCTAATAAGAGGTAGTATGTGTGGTAGTGAAGACTATAATACAATAAACAAAATTAATATTTACGGAATTCTAGACTTACATAATGTAGAGAAACAAACAAAAACAAAAACATTTATTAAATAAAACCGAATTGGTGGAAATTAAAATTAAAGAATTAGATTTTAACTTTCTCGGTACAGTTGTGTAAGGAGCAAATAAAACTAAGAAGCCACTTTTCAAGTCGAGTGATCCAGCTCAAGTGGTAACCAAAGCCCAACAGACCATTGAGATCTTGGCAAAGGATAAAAAATGGACGTTAAAGTTCAAACTAGAATAAAAAAAAAATATTGTGTAAAATTATATGAAGGTACAGCTTGTATTACTACTTACATATCATAGCTTGTAGTTACAACTCAAACACCATACACCAAAACATGTCAAAAAATTGACAAACAAGGCGACTCAGGAGGTTCTAGAGGTGATATATGGCGTATAGATCCG